CTTCGTGAGACGCGACGCGGGTGGGGTCCACGCGGAGGTGCTGGAGGTGCTGAGGCCGTGGATGGAGCTGGGGTACGTGACGCTGCAGGACATTAGGGAGCAGGAGAGATTCGATGGGTACTACCACAACCGGTTCATGGTGGTCAATGTGGTCCCCAGAATCATTTTGAAAATTTGGATTCTAGGGGATCAATTCCGACAAGGAAAATGTCATGTCCTTATAAATGGAAAAATTTTGGGACCCGGGTTGGTTTGTTGGATCATGGTGCAGGGGCGGATCAGATCCAATTACCTAATTTCTGGTCAAACTTTCAATACACTAGATGACATGGAGTAAAGGAACACGTGGCATCACCTGATTCGCTGTCCTAGAGGGCACCAAAACCCTCTACTCACAAATGACACGCAAGGAATCGCCATAAAATAATATATGGCCACGTTATGAGAAATTAAAATTTGAGGAGTATCTATATATAAGCCGTAGATAATATGTATGATTAAACAAGAATACCTGGGTTGTCAGCGATAAATCGTATTGCAACCCAACCACCAGAAGGCACACCAACGGTGTTCCTCTCAACGGGGTCAACCAGATTAAACCTGTGAGGATCTGCGTTAGGATCAAAGTTCCCAAAACCTTGACCTACCACAAACATATTGAACCCATGAAGATGCAACGGATGAGACTCTGCACCCAAAATGCTAGTGTCCTGCAACACCACCTCCACCCTCGTGTTGTAGGGTATCACCACCACCTTCGTTCCACTCCTCACCATGCTGTTATTCGGTGGCTTCCCCGTGTAGTTAAAGGCTCTCGGAGGCACTACAGGGAAGTCCGTGCTATAAACACCATTATCACCCTTCCCTAAGAAATGTTGCTCAAGAATCGCCACCCAAGGAAGAACAAAAGATACGTTGTTGACAGAAGCAGATAATTTTGTTCTGTTGTAAGGCCCTTCACACCTTTGGTTTCTCGGGCATGGCATGGTCCCAAGTCCCACCGTGAAGAAGAAGCTCCTGTCAACACTTTTGGGCACGTTCGCAGGGTACTCTTCACTGTTCAAGCTGCGTAATTTACCACTGAAATTGGCAACAAACGATGCGTCGTTCATGGCGGGAAGGTTGGGTTTCAAGTGGGGAAGGTTTTTCAAATGTGACTTCGAAAAAGGGGTGTCGTTGTCGTATTCTAGAATGCCAGCTAACGTGGAATTGTCGAAGGTGCCCCTACCATTGGAATATGGTCTCGCTAGCATGAAGAATGTGGCGTTTATGTATTCAGGTTTTGTCTCCAACACTACGTTTGTGGTTTGTCCTGGTCCAATCACTATGATGTCGGAGTTGAATGGTTTAACATATGTAGCATCCGCTTCCACGATGGTCATGCTGTGGTTTGCTATGCTGAAAAACAATTCATCGTTCATTGCAGCGTTGATCAAACGTAGAAGATATCTCTTCCCCGGTTTCACCTTTAGCCTCAATGTATCTGTCCATGCATAATTAGTTTAGTTTTTATTAATTAATTATTAGAACTCCTTAGTGTTTTGGACGGAGAATAATCATCGCTACAATGATAATAATAAAAAACAATATATTTAATTATTAAAGGGGTGCACCGTTAGTGGAGCAATTGTAGAGGGGCCCAGGAAGTCCGTTAAAGGTATAAGCATCAGAGACATTAGGACCACCCCCTGTGTGAAGGGCTTGTGCAATGACAGCCTCCGGATCCACATTCCACCACTCTCCTATACTCAATTATTTTAGGAGCGTACATTATTTTTCAGATAAAATAAATAAAATAAAAGAAATATGTTGATTGTGCATGTACCGAAGAGGATGGGGATTTCTTTGTAGGGTTTGGCAAATGGGTAAGATTGGTTGCGGCTGGGGAGGATGATGAGGGGTCCATAGAGAGTAGCCCTTAACCACGAGATGTGTGCATGCCAGAAGAGAGTTCCTCTTTGCCCTACCATGCTGAACTTGTACACATAACTCTCACCACTTTGTATGGGGCATTGAGTTATGTACGATGCTCCATCCGACCATCCACTACGTAGTTGTCTCACTCCATGCCTATACATACATTTGGTGTCATATATATGCATGCATGGAGACACAAGCTAGAAAAGGCACAACAAGAGGTTAATTATTAATTGGTACACAAAATCAAATGTATACCAGTGGATGGTGACATTGTTTGGAACATGGTTAACCACCTTAACCACTAATTTTTCTCCTTCTCTAGCAACAACACGAGGTCCGGGGAACTTCCCATTTACTGTGACCATACTCTTTGTGTGGCACAGTCTAGTAACGTTTTTCAGCCTTATCTGCATGCAGAAGTAATAAACAAAAAAAAAAAAAAAAAAAGTGTAACAGATATGAAAAAAACAACTAGGTAATGCTAATGCGTACATTGAAATGATAGTGCCTAGTAACGCCTTCATAGTTTGAAGTAGCAGCCAGCACAACCTGAGGAAAGGTCCAAAGGAAGCTAGTGACAAAGAGGGAAGCGACAAAGAATGCTGCTGTTGAAGGAATAGCGCTAATCATTTTTTTTCTGCAGCAATGTGTTTCTAGCCAGAATCCAAATGTGTGAAACTAATTGCATTTGAGACTTGCTAATTATATTTGTAGAAATGGAAAATTTGGTCCACTAGGTATCTTGGTTTTTCATTAGGTTTCACAACACAACGAAGCATGCTATAGAAGAGGAATGGAATGATTCTACACCTACTTTCTAATTTGTTCACATTTAGAGTCCTTCACTATTTCATTATTGGAGTGCCACTAACGTAGTTATTAAATGTTTTGTCCCAATGACATGCCCAAATTATACTCCCCCAAATGGCCAACTCACTAATTTCTTTCCCTTGTGCACCAGCTATACTAGACATTTTTTTAATGTGAATTTGATTATTATGAAGAATAAATAATTAAGTCTCCATATGATCTCATTAAGTCAACCCAATTAATCATAAAATTATAAAATTTGAATTATAAGTAAACAAATTTATCTCTCGCAATACACTCGTTTATTTTTCATTCTCTTATTCCCTCCATATTCTATAAAGTTTACTATACAATTATAATATCACAATAATATCGAGAAAGATATAAAACAATTATAATAGAATCATTATTATTTAGAACCGAATGTTTCATAAGTTTAATTAGGGATATTAAGTTTGAGTTTTAATATGTAAATATTGCATTAAATACGTTGATCGAAAGAGAGTTTTCCTGTTTATAATAGTTTATCTTACTCGAGCATATAAATTGCTTCTTACAGCCTATAAAAAAAATGTTTTATAAAAAATATTTGTGTTTTGTATTCTAAAATAAAATAAAAATTACCATGATTTGTTTAAAATCCATTACTTTCATTTATCAGTCTTCCTCTTTCATAACATGACATTCATGTTATTCACAGACGAAATTGTAGCAATGTGAATTCAGTTACCAAGAGACGAAGTGAAGAAGTCAAAAATTCAATTAGCTCGAGCGTCTGGAAACTTTTCAATTCTGCATTCTGCAAAAGATATCATTTTCCTGTGTGTTTAATCTCTCACAAACACAGGCACTAACAACAGTAATAATCTTGAGTAGTCAATTATCCCCTCTCATCACATATTATTCTCGTTCACAATAATTCACTACTTATTAGTTATTTGAATTTATTCACCATTATAAAAATGATATGCAAAAATGGCGCCCCGATATCGTATTCAATTTCTAGATTCTACTTCTATACGTAGAAATTAGGGGTGAGCATTCACTGCTAGAAAAATGTTATTTTCTTGCGAATTTTCTTGCAAAAATATATTCGCAAAATTTTTTGCGAATTTTCTTGCAAAAAAATATTCGCAGAAATTTTTTGCAAATTTTTCTGCAAAAAAATATTCGCAGAAATTTTTTGCAAATTTATTTGCGAAAAATAATTTACAGATATTTCTTACAAATTTTGCTACAATTTTAATAATCATAGAAATTTTTTTCCATGGTAAAAATTTGTAGAAAGTATTGTAAGAATTTTATTTTATTTCTTGCAGATTTTCTTGCAAAAATAAATTCGTAAGTAATGTTTACTAAATGGTAGAAAAAATTTGCAGGTAACTTTTCCTGCGAATTTTCCTGTAAATTTTAATCCCCAGGAAAAATAAAAAATATATATATTTAAATTTATAAGTTTAATATTTTTAAAAAACTTCAAGTCCCACATTGATTGAAAATAAAGTAATTAAAGAGTATATAAGTTGGGGGCAACACTTATCTTACAAGTTGATTTGTATGGTTGAGTGTTAAGCTTATAATTTACAATCTTAGAATTTAAAAGATTATGTATCACATGTTGGAGGCATGTAAACAAATGTTTCAGATGAATTCATTGTGAGCATTTCAAAGTTGAAAAATTATTGATAGACTTTATATTAATTTCTTTAATTTTCTTCGTAAAAAAATATTTCTGCAAAATTTCTTGCAAAAAAATTCGCAGGAAACTTTCTTGCGAATTTTGCTGCGATTCATTGTGAGCATTTGAAAGTTGAAAAATTATTGATAGAATTTATATTAATTTCTTTAATTTTCTTCGTAAAAAAATATTTCTGCAAAATTTCTTGCAAAAAAATTCGCAGGAAACTTTCCTGCGAATTTTGCTGCGAAATATCTTTTGCAAGAAACTTTCCTGCAATTTTTTTTTTTGCAAGAAACTTTCCTGCAATTTTTTTCGCAAGAAATTTCGCAGGAAATTTTCCTGCAAATTTTAAAATTCGCAAAAAATATATTATCCACGGAAGTATTACCTACAGATAAAATTTTGCAGAAAAATTTGCAGAAACAACGTTTCCTACTAATTTTTCATAAAAATTCGCAGGAAAAGTTGCATGTAATAAGAGAAATTCTAGTAGTGATTAAATCAAGACCCGAACCAAACCCAAAAAATCCGATAAAAAATATTGCTTTTGGGTGGGTTCGGGCAGGTTTTATGGGTAAATCAGGTTAAAATTTTGATTTTATACGGGTTATATTGGGCGGGTTCGGTTTTTAATTTTTAAATCTGCTAAATACCGAACCCAACCAAAAATGAAATAAGTTTAAATTTTTATTACTTTTGTATAACTAAACAACAATGGTCCAAACTTAAAAGTCTTTATTTTAAGTATAATATAGTCATCAATTTGTAACTTTTTATTTCTTTTTTCTCATAACTTAGATATTTATTTTGTCTTATCCTTCCTCATTCAACTTCTCAACACACTAGTCCATTTTTAGAGTTATCTTTTTGCTTTTTTCTTTGTTTTTCTTTTCCATCTTCTTATCTCTATTTTGAGTACAACTTGTGCGACTGTGATTTCTTATGAGTTTTGTAATCTAACTTTAGATTTCTTTTGCATGTAACAACTATGAATTTTGTTATCTTTTATTTTTGCTTCTTTAGTTTGTAAATGTTTTATCTACCAATCTACTTACACCATCTATTGTCACCTTCATTATATTTTTATACACTATTTTAAAAAATATTTTTTTATCATTTTAAGCTTAATCTTCGTTAAGATAAATTGGTTTACAAAAAAATTCAAACCCGATTGTACCTACCCATTCAAATCCAAATCCGTTTCAACCCAAACCGCCTCAAATCGAAAGCTCAGTCAGTCGGATATAGGTCACATTTTTTCAAAGTCAATTTACAACGAGTTGGACATTTTTCACCCGAACCCTACCAAACCCAGCCGTTGCTCACCCCTAGTAGAAATGCCTACACAAAAGTTGCAGCTTGATATGAAAATATTGTCTTTGACCAGTACGAGTCAAAGAGATCAATGTCTGCAATTATGTTTTAATTTCTTTCAAGCCAAATATGGAATTTGCATCGCTTACATAGAACAGTATTAGAAAACCCGGTATAAGAAACGAGTACCTAAAGGCTAAACACTACAAACATTAATTAAGTGCTCAATTTTCCATTTGTCTCTTTATCCAATATAGGGCATCCTCTGCTGTCCTCGTTAAATGATATGCTAGTACTGTGAGTGTAGGTCTTACAAACTTGATTTTGAATGATTTCCTTTTATAAAATTAATTTAGTTAAAAGTGAGGTTAAATAATTTATACTTGGATTAAGTCAAAACCAAGTTTAAAATAAAATTAATATAAAACTTTTAACTTAAAATAATTACCAAACATAATTATTTTGTAAATAATCACGCTTATCACTTCTAAAAGCAAGTCTGGGGACCATCACACTGATAATCATATATAGAAGATACAGTCTTATTAATTATCTTCCTTCTAATTGTAAATAAATTAAAAAAAATCTTTAGTCGATTATTATTAGCTACCAGTTTTACTTCGTAGACTATAAAATTTTTAAATATTAATAATTCATAATTTCGCCTGATTTGAAGGAACAAATATTAATTTTTTCAGTAAAAATAGTAAATGAAGGTTTAATAAAAGACGGTGAATGTACAATATATGGTACATCCATATCATAGTTATCAGACGCACAATTTCGTAGGACAACATTAATGGAGAAAGAAAAACAGGAATTGAAATGTATTGATGGATTGATGGATCAGTCCCAGATGATGACTACTGCTATAACAGTTACTCATGCAAATGCAACTATATGTATATTATTGGCTGTGTCATATTAAATTAAATGAAATTTAAAAAATTTATTTTGGACAAGATCGACTTAGATAACATTAATATTCTTCAATTTTAAAATTAAAATTTCATGTGAATAATTAAGATGAATTTATTACATTAGGAGTGGATGGGAAGAGTGAAGGAGTCGATTTCATTGGGTATCTGCCTGGTGGTTGGTGATTGTACTGAATACCTTATTGAATGAGTGAGACCAAATTTAACATTTAAGGAGGACATTTGACCAACTTTTTCTTTTATTAGGCGAGGAAGGAAAGTGTTGATCCACATAGCTAGAGATAGATTAGTTACCACATTAGCTTGTCTCGTTAAGTCTAATATCACTATTTCGACCCGGCCCAAATTAAACTATAAAAGATTTATACTAGTAGTTAAAGTAATTAATATTACAGAGGTGTTACGTACTTTCAATGATTTGAGAGATTTTAGTATATTTTTTTTATATAAACTTATAAAAGATTTTAAAAATAATAATTTAATTATAAAATAAATAATTTAAATTATATTTATAAAATAAAAAGTAAGACAAAATTATAAAGATTAAAATTATAAGATTCTAATAATATTATAAAATATTAAAAAATAAAAAAATTAATAAATAATTATTATAATATATAAATTTAAAAATTTAAGGTAAAAAGACAAAAATATACTCAAAAATTTATTAAAATTAAACTATTTAAATATATAATAATATTATTACAAATAAAATTAAAACATATAAAATAAAAATAAAATGATTAAATAATTTAAATAATAAAATATCATAAATATTATTTAAATAAGTTATTAAAAATATAAAATATAAAATAAAATTATAATTACAATTATACCGATACCCTCTCAAATAATATGGGCCAAAGAATTAATTTCTCTTAATATTAACCGCAATCTATTAATTATGAGTAACGATATGTTTAGAGTAAGTCTATTTAAATTTACTCTATTTAATAATTTATATTTTATATCAAAGTTTAATAATTTAATTGTTGAATTTAAAGTTTTTAATATATAGATTGACTCTGCAAGTTTTTAAAAAATTTGAAAATCATTTGATACTTTGTTTCATTAATTTAAATTGACAAATAATTTTAAAATCATTTTATACGTTGGTTTAAATTAGTAAAATAAAGTATAAAAGATTTTCAAATTTTTAAAAAAATTTACAGACTTGACCTATACATTAAAAATTTTAAATTTAACAATTGGATCGTTAAAATTTGATGTAAATCGTGAGTTATTGAACAAAATAAATCTAAATAGACTTACTCTTAAAGTAAACAAATCTTTCATCATTAATTATATATGACATAAATTATATTTGAAATTATTTGGTGTCAAAAAAATAACACGATAATATCATATGATGAGAAAGATACAAAACAATTATAATAGAATCATTATTATTTATAACCGAATGTATCATAAGTTTAATTAGGGATATTAAGCTTGAGTTTTAATATGTAAATATTGCATTAAATACGTTGATCGAAAGAGAGTTTTCCTGTGTATAATAGTTTATCTTACTCGAGCATATAAATTGCTTCTTACAGCCTATAAAAAAATTGTTTTATAAAAAATATTTGTGGTTTTTATTATTGTATACTAAAATAAAATAAAAATTGCCATTATTTGTCTAAAATCCATTACTTTCATTTATCAGTCTTCCTCTTTCATAACATGACATTCATGCTAGTCACAGACGAAATTGTAGCAATGTGAATTCAGTTACCAAGAGACGAAGTGAAGAGGTCAAAAATTCAATTAGCTAGAGCGTCAGGGAAACTTTTCAATTCTACATTCTGCAAAAGATATGATTTTCCCTTGTGTTTAATCTCTCACAAACACAGACACTAACAATAGTAATAATCTTGAGTAGTCAATTATCCCCTTTCATCACATATTATTCTCGTTCACAATAATTCCACTACTAATTAGTTATTTGAATTTATTCACCATTATAAAAATGATATGCAAAAAATGGCTCCCCGATATCGTATTCAATTTCTAGATTCTACTTCTATATGTAGAAATGCCTGCACAAAAGTTGCAGCTTGATATGAAAATATTGTCTTTGACCAGTACGAGTCAAAGAGATCAATGTCTGCAATTATGTTTTAATTTCTTTCAAGCCAAATATGGAATTTGCATCGCTTACATAGATCAGTATTAGAAACCAGGTATAAGAAATGAGTACCTAAAGGCTAAACACAACAAACATTAATTAAGTGCTCAATTTTCCATTTGTCTCTTTATCCAATATAGTGCATCCTTTGCTGTCCTCGTTAAATGATATGCTAGTACTCTGAGTGTAGGTCTTACAAACTTGATTTTGAATGATTTCATTTTATAAAATTAATTTAGTTAAAAGCAAGTCTGGGGACCATCACGCTAATAATCATAGAAGATACAGTCTCATTAATTATCTTCCTAGTAATTGTAAATAAATATTAAAAAAATCTTTAGTCGATTATTATTAGTTACCAGTTTTACTTCGTAGACTATAAAATTTTCAAAATTTAATAATTAATAATTTCGCCTGATTGAAGGAACAAATATTAAAATTTTCAGTAAAAATAGTAAATGAAGGTTTAATAAAAGATGGTGAATGTACAGTGGTACATCCATATCATAATTATCAGACGCACAATTTCGTAGGACAACATTAATGGAGAAAGAAAAACAGGAATTGAAACGTATTGATGGATCAGTCCCAGATCATGACTACTGCTATAACAGCTACACCAAAAAGCACAGCGACAAACCTAAACCAGGGAGTGTCGTAACGTGTTGTCTTCTGCGGTTTGAAGCCTTTGGTTATTAAATGATTGATGGCAACATAGATGAAAACCCCACAAGCAATACCCATAGATATAGCAAACATCCAATCTGCAGTGCGTCCTTGTGTTGTGGAATCTATGGCAATGCCAATCCCCACACCAATGGGGCTAGACACAGCAAAGGCAAAAGAATATGCTGCCGTTGTTAAAAAGGGTCTCTTAGGTAACATCCTTAGTAAAGCAATTCCCATTGCAATCGCAGCAAATATCTTGTGCAAGGATATTGTCCATAAGTTCCTCCATGCGTCTGTCGTAGTACCTTAATTATACATGTATGTATATGTTAAACAAGTTTACTTCTTATTCATTTGAATTTCAAGTATCATAAACATAATCATAATAAAGGAAATAGAATTGGAATTCCCAATAATAAATAGTAATAAAAAAATGCTTGTGCAAGAAATAAACAACGTGAAAATAGTAAGGCATATTTGATTTGAGAAAATGATTGTTATTTTACTCCTTATTTGAAAGTAATCATGAAGTTTTGTATATGAAAAGGTAAAATTATTACATAGTTTCATACTACTGTGTTTCTAAGTTCTAAATATTATATGATTTCATACCACGATAATTTATACATGCTCGTATTGATAACTAATGTGTTTTTGTTTCTGATCTTTGAAATTCTTCCCTACTTGAAATGGAAAAGTTGTATATTTTCTTACATGTTGATATTTAACGACACATTCTTATTAATTTCATTTCTTTAAGTCAATGTAAAGTTAATCTTATCTGTACTATAAACCTTACGTGTCGAGTTATTAGGAATATAACTAGCTTATCTCTAATTTTATAAAGAAGGGCGTGGACAATTGATCACTCTTTGACGTTGAAATTTTTTTTTTAACATGTGAGTGTTGTGTACAAAAGCTAGGAATCATGGGAGAGAAAGGAGAAACACATTTTAAGAATGTTTTGGACTTAAGCAACCTCTAGGTTAATTATCCTAAGATGTTTTTTTCTTACCGGAAGAGGTTTCTAATTTCAATTATTACATAGTACTATATCATTATGATATTTTGATTAATCTTTATGTGACACATAATTAGGCATCGTTTACTTTTTCTCATAAATAAAATTAAGTTGTTACATTGGAAACTAATCAAGACTAGAACACATGGAATTTTTGGATCATGTAATAATTTCTCACCGAAAAAAAGAAAAAAAGAACTTTTGATTTGTTTTTAATTAGGTGAGGGAAAGAAAAACCTGCAATTCCAACTGCAATGCCCTCAAAAACAGAATGGAAACACAGTGCAAGGATGAGCAGAATGGTGTCTCCGACAGAAGAAGTCTTCAACAAGACAGGGTTTGTTGTCTCCACTCTGGCATGGACATGGTCATCATGCTCTTGGACTTGGGGTGTTACCCCTCCTTCGAGTTCCACCACTTTGGCCTCCCTCTTGCTGTTGGTGGTGACAAAAACCACGACGCAGTCAGCAAGCATGGTGAGAAGGTATCCGGATGAAGCGAGCATGAAGGCAAAAGGGTAAGATTTGGTGGTGAGATCTCGGAAGGTCTCATTGGAATCGCTCAAGAAATGCATCAAAGAGGTTCCCAAGAAAACCCCACCAGCGAACTGAGTCCCCAAAAGAAGAAAAGCCTCGTTCCAACGGTAGAAGTAGGGAGACACACCACCAACGAAAGTGCTCACGAAGAAGATTACCAAACACCATATTTTCACCACTCTCAGATCCCTCGAATGCAAATCTTCACTGCCAGATTCATCCTCGTGATCACTGCCTCCTCCATGAGCGTTGATCGGATAGAGGAGCCAGGCCAAGAGACACAAAACGAGGAACGTTGACTTGAGGTTGGATGAAGCCATGTAGTAGTGACTATGGATATATTTGATATCTAAATAATCTCACTTGTTGCTTTAATCGTGTCAATATATACTTGTTAGTTTCAATATATTGTATTCATATCTATATATATATATCTGTGCTCATTTACTAAATTGAGCATGATTTTGGTACAGCAATTGACAATTGTATTACACTTGTACTTGTACTGCATTTTCGAGGGATGAGTTGTGAACTTGTACTACACAGGATTTGCGTCAGCATGCATGCAATCAAAAAATTAAGCAGTAAAATACTAGTATATTTAAAATCATCTGATTAGAATCTATCATAATACTCCTTCATGCCTTTTATTATATAATAAATAAATGATTTATAAAACTAATAAAACAATTAAGATAGTTAATTTTTATTAATATTATCATAAAATTAAATTTTATTTCAAAAATGCTCTTTAAATTTTATGATTGAAATGGTGATTGCATCTCCTTACATGAGGTATATATAAAAGACCGAAGGAAGTATTATACTAAAATAAAATACTTTTTTTTTATCTCATAATAAATGTTATTTTAGATTATTTACGCTGACAAAAAAATTAATAAATTAAAAAAATAAATAATAATTTTACAAAATTAACCTTATAATTCATTTATCTTAAATATATCACTTTTTATATAATTTTACAAAAATAATTTATCCTCTCAATAAATGTATTATTTAAATTATAATAGTTGAATAATTTGTAAAAAAATTAATATAGTTCATTTTGAGACTTTTTCAAAATGTTTTACATATACCCCCAATCATATTCTTTTCATTGTCGTTTTTTTAATTAGAATAAATGAGACAAAACAGAGGTGATGAACGAAAATTGAGAAGATTAATATTTCATTTAACTAAGTATTTATTATTAATAACTCTTATTTCTTTATATTAAATTCTAAAATGTAATTTAGGAGAAAAATATTTTTTTAAAAATGAGATTAATATAATTAAATGATGCTAATTAATTAATTTTCTTAATCAATATTAGTCAGTTTTTTTAACTTATATTCAATATCAAAGGGGTAATTAGTAATTACTGATATAAGAGAACCCAAACTTCTAATAGTGTTTATATATATATATATATATATATGAGGAGTTATAATTATACTGGTGTAACTTTTACGAAGTATTACATCGCTCAATAACTTTATATTAAATGTGAATTTTATAAATCCAATCGTTAGATTAAAAGTTTATTTATTTAATTAGATCATTTATACAAAATTTTATATTAATTCAAGATGATTTGATACTTTATTTTTATAAAATAAAATTGATGTAATATATTCATTTCAAAATACACTATAATATAAAGACTTTGATTACCTTTAAGTTGTTGTTCAATTTTAACAAAATTTAATATACATGTATAAAGTAATATGAACTTTTAATCTAACAGTTAGATTTACAAAATTCATAATTAATATAAAGTTATTGAGCGGTGTAATACTTTGTAAAAGTTACATCGGTGTAATTATAACTCCTCTATATATATATATATATGTTGTTGATTAGATTTCAGAAGAAAAACAAAATGTTGTTGATTAGACTACGACAAGTATACCAAATTTTATAAGTGATAAAATGATATTACTATTATAACAAGTGATAAGATACATATATCATTATCGACGAATAATAGCCAATTATCAATTTACAAAGTCAACTACTAATTCAAATGCACAAATAGGAATTTGGATTTATGAATTGTTTAGCGAGTATGTACATTAGAAAAGCATAGTACTTGATGGTTTTAAGTTTTTTGTAGCAAAGAAAACTAATAATACAGTGGAAAAACGCTGCAGAAAAATGACCATGCACCTAACAAAAACATATATCTTATAATATAATGGGTGATTTAATTATATCTGAAGAACGGTCCGTCTTGAAGTCAAAATTCTTCCACAAGTTAGATTTATGTAAATCAATTGGTGAGAAATTTATGGCACTTAGTCAATATTTCTTACCTTGAACAACAAGATTCAAGATTGTAGTTAAGATGACCTTGTTAGTGATCTAAATGAGAGTGACATGACAAGGTAAGACGACAAAGTTTGAAATAAGACATTTAATTCTGAGATTAGCTTATGCTACAAAAATTCCATTGCAGACTTGAGAAAACCAACAATAATAGTCCGCATAAATTACACTTGACACTCAATAAGGTCTTACAAAATTGTACTCATATCTCCTACTTTTTTTTAAAAAAAAATTTAATATATAAATTAACTTTACAAATTTTTAAAAATTTTAAAAATCATTTGATACTCTAATTTTCTAATTTAAATTGATAGAAAAGTACAGAAATATTTAATACATTGATTTGAATTAATAAAATAAAATATTAAATAATTTTTTAATTTTTTTAAAAAATTTACAGACTTGATTTATTAATATACATTTAACAAGTATAACAATTAACATAGTACTGAAAAGGATAAAAGTCCAAAGTTATCGATTCATAGAGACTTACATTTATAATTATTTAATGTAATTATGAAACTAAATAGATAAATTAAAAATTTATTAAATTGAATTATATGTAAAGAAATATTTAATTGTAGAAATTAAAAGAAAACAATAATTTAGATGAAATTAATCTATAATAAAATTAGTCGGAGATTAATTCATTAATTTTCCTTATCTAAAATTCTATAACTTTTTCATTCAATTTGTAATTAAATTGTCAACTCAACAACTCACCCATATATTTAAACCATAATTTCTTAGGTGAGAAATTATAGATTATTTAAGAAAAATCTTAATTCCTTGGTAATTTTTGTTAAACAATCATGTATTAAGATTAGGGACTAAATGTCGAACGATGAGGTTTATCTCAATTTCTTGATAATAAATGTCATTAGTGTTTTTTTCATATCATAGTTTTAAAAGGGTATTTCAACCTCAATTAATTCTAATAAATCATACATTGATTGATCAAACCAAAACAAACATTAAGAATAATAGAAAAATAATTAACCAAATAATATTTTTATCAAATGAAAAAAAGGAAGAATTTACATAGTTTCTAGTTACCTCAATCCTTAAGAATAAGAAACTTAGTCATTCATAACTAAAGATTACAGCTCTAGATAAATCTTTGAGAACTATGTAATTCTCAAATTAATTTCACAGAAACCTCTCTAATCTCTTTAGAATTGTACTAAAGAAAATGTATATATTACAATAGGAATTGATACATAGACCTAAAGAAACCCTAATTTTATAATAATTTCTTATAGGTTTTCAAGTTGGGTCTAGTTGCTCAAAGCGCTCATGTTGCTTGCTTTGAGTGTCCAAGTTAAACGTCCATGGGTGTCCTTTGTCTACTTGCTCAAAATGAATTTGTAGTAATTTTGAGTCAATTTTTCTTACTTAGAGCGACAATTTTGTGCATCCTAGAGCAATACTTTTCCTTTGAAACTTATAACTTCTAAAATATTTTCTCATGTGTTCCATTTCAACCAAAAAAATATTTAAAAAAAATCTAAATTTTAAACAATTAAACTGAAGTTAAATTTATTTCTTAATCAAGTATTCTGTGGCCAAAAGAAATATTTAAAAGTATAATGTAGATTAATAATTTTATAAATTGAATAAAATATGAATGCATTTTTGATAATTATTATTTATGTATTAAGAACTTTTAATTTAATGATTAAATCATTAAAATTTGATGTAGACATGTTTTTAAGTGAAGTAAATATAAATAAATTTACTCTTGAAATAAGTAAATTCTTCATATATATATATATA